GGGGGGGGGGGTGGGGGGTGGGTGTGGGGGGGGGGGGGGGGGGGGGGGGTGGGGGGGGGGGGGGGGGGGGGGGTGTGGGGTGGGGGGGGGGGGGGGGGGGGGGGGGGGGGTGTGTGGGGGGGGGAGGGGGGGTGCGTGTGTGGGTGTGGGGGGGGGGGGGGGTGGGGGGGGGGGGGGGGGGTGGGAGGGGGGGGGGGGGGGGGGGGGGGTGGAGCGGGGGGGGGTGGTGGGAGAGGGGGGGGGGGGGGGGGGGTGGAGGTGGTGGGGTGGGGCGGGGGGGAGGTGCAGTGGGGTGTGGGGGAGAGGGAGGTGGGGGGGGTGTGTTGTGGGGGGAGAGGGGGTGTTGGTGTGGTGTGGGTGGGGGAGAGGGAGGTGCAGTGTGTGTGTGTGGGGAGAGGGAGGTGCAGTGTGTGTGTGTGGGGAAGAGGGAGGTGCAGTGGAGGTGTGTGTGTGGGGGAGAGGGAGGTGCAGTGGTGTGTGTGGGTGTGTGGAGAGGGAGGTGCAGAGTGTGCAGTGAGGTGGGGGAGAGGGAGGTGCGTGTGTGTTGGGTGGGGGAGAGGGGTGCAGTGTGTGTGTAGGGGGAGAGGAGGTGCAGTGTATGTGTGTGGGGGAGAGGGAGGTGCAGTGTGTGTGTGTGGGGGAGAGGGAGGTGCAGTGTGTGTGTGGGGGGAGGGAGGTGCAGTGTGTGTGTGTGGGGGAGAGGGATGGGTGCAGTGTGTGTGTGTGGGGAGAGGGAGGTGCAGGTGTGGGGGTGGGGGGGAGGGTGTGTGTGTGTGTGGGGAGAGGGAGGTGCAGTGTGTGTGTGTGTGTGGGGGGGGGGCAGAGGGAGGTGTCGTAAAGGATCAATAGGATGAAGATATCGCCATCAAACAAACTGGGACGAGCTGCAGACGGGAAAGTGAAAAAATCCTCAAAGTTAAAGGGGCCCCGTCTGCAGCCTCTGCTCTGCTTTACCTGATGCAAACCACCTGCGGGAGTTCAGTAAGAAACACTATAAACTCTGTATTTCGCATGAATGAGATAATTTGCCAAATCTCTGTTTCGAGAATTAGTCAAAGAAATGTTTTCCTTCCAGCTGCCAATTTTGCAACATGTTTTAATGTGCCTTTCTTTTAACATCTGTTGGTGTTACTTTTTGTTTGAGAATTTAGTAGAATAAAAACAAAAAAAAGCGCCAAAACCGGCTAAAATTCACCTAACAAACTGGCAACCCAAAGAAGTGTCTGGTTCTTCTCTCTGATTGGCTAATCTGCCTGATCGTGTCCAATTGTCAGATATAATGTTTACCTGTTATCTGAGACATATATACAAGATTTTTGTACTTTTAAATGTTTAATCGAGAAAACATTATAGTTTGAATGTTTTGTCCTTATAAGTCACTTTTCCGTCTTAAAAGCTTATTTGCAGATGTGTTTTACTGTTTTTAGAGCGCAAGGAACAAGTGACATGGGTTTGATGACATAGTTCCATTGGTTTTATAGTTAGGGAACCCCGAGCTTTATGTGAAGGGACAGACACTGGCGCTAAACAGAACTCAAGTCAAAGCAAAAACTTTAAAAAACCCAAATAAAAGTACTTTTGGGGGAATCAAGTCAAAAACAGCTGTTCAGAAATTAGCTTGATCATTGAGACATTTCAGATTAAACAAGCAGGAAAAGACCAGCTCCAAAAAGTCCCCACACCACCTTTTCCTCATGAACCGTACATTCGCTAAATTCCGATTGTTCAACAGGATTTATAATGTTGGTATTAGAGTTTTAGCAACAGGACTTTGGAAATGCAAATATCTGAGAGTTTTTATTATGACAGACTTTAAAGACTTACAGAGTCGACGCCATCACATGAAGCGTCAGCAGCAGAGAAACGACAGGATCAAATATCAAAACCATGATGACTCCGAGATCTACTCAGTGCATTTATCTGCAGACGAAAACACAAACATATCATGAACGTTACGATAGTTAGAGGAAGGACTTTTAAACAACCCCAAATGTGACGTCACGGCTACGTCCAGCCTTTTACCCTGGTCGGCTCAGTTTAACATAAAGAAATGCCTTTTACAGTGGGGGCAGCGAGTTGAATCATAAGTTCCAGAAGATAAGATTTATGAACAACTCCCTAAAATAAAATATTTAGCTGCCAACGCAGAAAATAAGTAACACATGTACATTTAAGATCTAACTCTGGTATACTCTAGGGCAAAGAAATATCCACTTGCATGTATACATCTGTAGATACTTCTGTAGATATGTAGAACACTCTAGTGCAAGGACACTGAAGTACTATGAAACTACTGTGTGTTTCAGCATGAGATAAAAGCATAGACTGTCAAAAAAATAAAACAATAAAAATCGACAGTGGAAAGATTAAAACGTCATTTATAATCAGTTTAGTAACTTTGCACAACATAAACATGCCCCTACCTGGATTGAAAACACATAAAAGAATCCCGTTCCCTGCATGAGGCTCAGAGCTCTCACCTGCAGAACAAGCTGGAGCAATAATCCCAGTGTGTTTGGAAGACGCGCCGCATGTCTCCGGAGAGCCGGCGGACGCGCGGCGGAGAGCGGCGGAGAGCGGCGGAGAGCGGCTGTGACGGGACCGAGCCTGGGACCGAGCCACAGACACAGCCCTCTGACAGACAGCAGACAGAACGCACGGAGCGCATCAAAGAGAGCTCGAGCCACAGGGGCGGGGCGGGGCCGAGCTGGAGGGCGGGGCCTGGACAGTCTATGGACTGACTGACGTTTCCTCAGCCGTGTGTGTATCGTGGGGGCGTGTACCTGTAAGGTCACAGCAATATATCCCTCAGCAGGTGGTAATCACTCCCAAAAGTTAAAATACTACGTTTCACTTGTATGTGGACACGTTCTTCCAGAAAATGTTAGCTGGTGCAGGTCTGGGGACCGGCGGAGTGATTATGCGGGAGGACAAGAAAAAAAGATTTCAATGTAATTATTATAGAAACACATCTTTTTATGATTCACAGGGCGAAAATAAGTACCGACAGGGCGAAGCGGACCCCGACGCGGGAGGGGTCTGCTTCCGCCCTGAAGGTACTTATTTTCCGATAATGACCTGTATGCTATACATTATCCCGCTTATTATACTGCTTTGTACCAACTTAACACACAAAATAAACTTCAGATCACTTTTATGAATGCCAAAAGTTTATTTAATGACAACAAATAAAGTAGTCCCAAAAAGTTTTCCCGTTGCTCGGCAACCGCGGGCAGGCAGTGTGGCTTTGACAATTGTGGCTATGCTAGCAACAGTTAGGCTGGCAACTTCCAAACTAGAACTCTCTGGAACTGCATGAAAACTGAACAAAGAATTCTGAACATCAGCGGTGAGTGACATACATAAACCTAACCTAAATCCATAATTCGATCCTCTGCAAATGTGTCCGAAAATGTGCCGGTATCTTAAAATGTGCCGGTATCTACTTCCGGGTTTTTTGGGATCGCCTTTTCTCGCATTACATCAGTGTTTTTGTCATGAAAACGTAAACGGAAAATTCTGAAAACTTCCGTGCACTTGTATTAAGATGTATATGTATAATTCACTCTCCGATAAACATTTCATTGCGTTGACTGATTGGCATTTGCGTTTATTGAGCGGCCAGAACTACTTCCGGGTTTTTCACGATCGCTTTTTGACGCAGAGAAATAGTATTTTTGTCACGAAGACAAGACCAGAAAATTCTGAAAATTTCCGTGCACGTGTGTTTAAGAATGTGTATGTATAAGTATTCTCCGATTAACATTTAAGTGTGTTGATTGAGCGTGGCTAGCTCAGGAGTGGCCGGAACTACTTGCGGAGTTTATCCACGCATTTGAAATACAAGCAGAGAGTGCGTTGCCGTGGGCAGCGGTCATTATTGTTTTGAGAGGTCCGTTATAGAAAATAATGACCGGTAGAACGTTTTGAAATTACATTCAAATCAATGGAGCGTTCTACTGCTGCTGTGAGGAGCCGTATAATAACTTGTTGATAATGCATTTAATGACCTGCAGTTGTATTTAGCACAATCCATGCCTAATGTGAGGAACGTCTCCCCACCCGTTTCTGTTCAAAATCTCTTTTCAAACAGCAGGTATATGTACTTTTTATGTTTGAACTAGAGTTTGCGTGCTCAATTTGCGTTTAATCAACTTTTTTTAAAAATGCAATACCTCTTGAGCAAAATGAGCATTCAGAAATCTCGGTGTAGTACTCAAAGGCACCTAGATTGGCTGGTGACAAGTGTGTGTGTGTGAGAACTTGCAGTGTGTGTGTTGGAGAGAGATAATGCAGTGTGGCCTCACCATGGAGGTGCCCCACACCTAACTTAACCCCCATAGGAGGTCCAGGCCTTCCCCACACCTAACCTTAACCCCAAGGAGATCCAGGCCGCCCCCACGCCTGCACATAGCCCCCTGGAGGTCCAGGCCTTCCCCACGACCTAACCTTAACCCCCATGGGATCCAGGCCCCCCACACCTAACCACCCCCTGGAGGTCCAGGCCTCCCCACACCTAACCTTAACCCCCACGGAGATCCAGGCCTCCCCACACCTAACCTTAACCCCCATGGAGATCCAGGCCCCCCACGCCTGCTTAATAACCCCATGGAGATCCAGGCCCTCCCCACACCTAACCTTAACCCCATGGAGATCCAGGCCGCCCCCCACGCCTGCACATAGCCCCCCTGGAGGTCCTGGGCTTCCCCACACCTAACCTTACCCCCATGGAGGTCCAGGCCTTCCCCACACCTAACCTTAACCCCCATGGAGACCCAGGCCCTCCCCAGACCTAACCCTAACCGGCCTGGAGGTCCTGGTAGCCCCCACACATGAACATAGCCCCCCTGGAGAACCAGGCCTTTCCCACCCCTCAGCCTACAAATCAGCCTAAGTGTTTTGCCAAAAAACCTAAGTGTCTATGCTGTAGTACTGGGCTCGCTGTGGCCGAGTGGCAAAGGCGATGGAATGGGGAGTCATTGAGGTCCTCCCACGCAGGTTCGAATCCTGCCCACAGCACTTAGAATTATTTTCACATTTGCTTGGAGCACCAGGCCTGTGATGGCTCTATTTCAAGCCGTACTTCAGGGCTTTTTTCGGGGTTAAAACCTCCGAGGACCCACCCTGGGTCTCAGGCTTGCCAGTGCTGCATTTATGTCCGGATTTCTAAGCTTTTTTCGGGGATAGAACCTCCACAGAATCCCCTCGGTTCTGGGACCCGCATGGCCCTATTTTAAGCCGGATTTAAGGGCTTTTTTCGGGGTTAAAACCTCCAGGGACTCCCCTTGGTTCTGGGACCTGTCATTGCTCTTTTTCAAGACAGATTTCATGCGCTCTCTCCCGGGGAGAAATGCGCCCACCCTTATTCTTTGAGAATATGTGTGCACTTGTTTTCAACTCCTGGTGGGTTCCATAACCTGAGATTCCGCTCACGTCATGGGGACTGGTTTTACGTGGTGGGGCCCGAACACCGGACCCCACTGGTCCAAGCTTAATAATCAATGGGTAATGCTTTTCTAACGGTCCTTATGCAGTCTCTGTAAAAATATGGAAAGGACCCCTGGAGGTTTACTTTCCTGAAAAAAGTGTGTTATGTGTCGGAACCCTGGTGGTGGGTTGCGGGATATCAAGGAGGGGCACACTGGGGCAATTTCAGTCCAGCAGGCTGGAGCCAATCATGGAGCAGCACAACAGAGGAAATCAGGTGTCAGGCTAGAAAAAGGTGCAAGTGTGTGGTTCATTAGGCTGCAAGAAATCATGGAGGAGCACACTGAAGCGCACGCTTACAAACCACTGGTAAGTGCTGACTACAAGTCATGACTTCAAATTGTTATATAGAATGATTACAAATTATTTGTTGTTTGTGCAGCTTAGTCAAGAGTCCCTAATTGATGAAGTCGACTCAGATTCTGACGATTTAACTGTCAAGAAGAAACCTGTAAAAAAGTATGGAAAAAGAAAATCAAAAACACTTTTCTTCAAGACTCGGAAAGTGACGAACCAAAGGCAAATAAGATTGTTATCATGCAGCTGCAAAAGAAGAAAAATGGGGGGCGAGTTTATAGCAAGAGACACTTCTGCCTCTACTGTTCAATGTCCTGCCACAAAATGTCCCGTCATTTGACTAGAAAACATGGAAATGAAAGTGACGTAGCCAGAGCATTGGCTCTACCTGTGAAATCTAAAGCACGTAAACTTCAGTTTGATTTGATCAGGAATAGTGGAAACCGTGAGCACAATTTTGAGGTTTTAAAGGCCGGCATTGGAACTTTAGTCCCAGCTAAACAGCCAAATTGCCCAGTTAAATCCAGTGAGTTTTTGCACTGTATAGACTGTGGGGCATTGCTTAAGCGAAAGTCGCTGTGGAGGCATGTGGCCAGGTGCCGGCTTTCACAGAAAGATGCCCAGGCTAAACCAGGTAGAAGTAGGGTCCAGTCCCTCTGCTCCCTAGCCCAGCCTGTACCGGAGGGCATCAGCAAAAAGCTGTGGTCTTTAATTTCGGCAATGCATCAGGATGAGGTCACGGGTGTTGTCAAAGCAGAAAAGGGGATTCTGAGACTCGGAGAGCACCTGTACTTAAAACACGGGCATGATAAGACTAAGCATGATTACATTAGGCAGAAAATGAGAGAAGTCGGTAGGTTAATTAACGAAGCAAAAACTGCAGGGAAACTGAAAACAATTAAGGATTTCTTTATTCCTTCCAACTTTAACCATGTGATTGATGCAGTCAGGTCTGTGGCTGGATATGATGAGGAAACAAATCAATACAAGACTCCATCCTTGGCCCTCAAACTCGGCCATAGCCTCAGAAAGCTAGCAGATATTCTTGAATGTGACTCAAAAATGGAGCATTGTGTTGATGAACTATTTATTAAAAACCTCCAACGAAGCCGGCTGCTTTTTGAGAAGAGGTGGGACGTCTGTGTTTCTTCTGCTGCCCTACAGACCCTCCGGCAAGCCAAGTGGAACACTCCGGACCTGCTCCCTCTGACTGAGGACGTTAGAGCCATGCATGCACATATTGAGGTATGTCGACCTGAATATGTGCAAACCCTAATAAGTGAGCCAACGTCTAAGCATTGGTCTAAACTGGCAGTTTTGACTCTTTGTGAGGTCATCATTTTCAATCGAAGAAGGGAAGGTGAGGTTTCAAAGATGCCACTGACAGCCTTTACCTTAAGAAGTAAGACTGGGATCCATTCTGACATTGCTCTGGGACTGTCCCAACTTGAGAAAAAGCTGTGTCAGCATTTTCAACGCATTGAAATTAAAGGGAAAAGAAGTCGGAAAGTGCCGGTTCTTTTGACTCCTGAAATGATTGCTTCGATGGAGGTGCTGGTGGAGAACAGAAGGGCCTGTTCCATCTCTGACCATAACCCATACTTCTTTTCCCGCCCGGGCGCAGACACCCACATCAGGGGATCAGACTCCCTACGCCAGGTAGCCAAAGAATGTGGTGCGGTGCATCCAGAGATGCTATCCTCAACCAAACTTAGAAAGCACATAGCTACTATGTCTACAGTTCTCAATATGAAAGAGAATGAGATGGACATACTTGCCAACTTCCTCGGCCATGACATTCGCATCCACAGGCAATATTACAGACTACCAGAGGGGACACTGGAGCTGGCCAAAATCAGCAAAGTGTTGATGGCCATGGAGCAGGGAAGAGTGACGGAATTCGAAGGAAAGAGCCTCGACCAGATACAAATTGAGCCTGAAGGTAATTCTTGATATTATTAAAATATGTATGATTTTTTTCCCCTAAAGGCCACTTGTATTTTTATTTTCTGTGCGACAGGGAGAGCAGTAGAGATCCTCTCACAAACGGACGGGCTAAAAGAAACTTCAAGCGGAGAACCTTCAACCATTCATCCAGATGCACCCCATGGTAGTGGCAGTGCCCCTTCTGGTAAGTGTACCAGGTGGGGGATTACAGCCAGGCTGCTTGGTCCTCACCCTGGGAGTGTATATTGCTAATATATTTTTATTTCTCTCCCTAGAACGTGTAAGAAAGCCATGGTCTGCATCTGAGGTGAAGGCTGTGGAGAAGACCATGACACCTTTCATACAGACTGGAAAGGTCCCTGGGAAGTCTCACTGCCTGGCCTGCATTAATGCCTCACCAGATGACCTTAGACATCGGACATGGAGTGGCATTAAATTCTATGTCAAAAATAGAATCACTGCAATTCGAAAACAAAATCTAAAATAAAATTCCTTTAAAATAGTTGTTTGGTTTCTATTGACTGTTTTGTATTACTTAAAGTCTTGGTAAAAAAAGATTATGTCTATGGGTCCCATTCTGAACGGCCCTGTCAAAGGGACCCACCAGGTAACAAAAACGTGTATGTGTGTGTGTGTGTGTGTGTGGGGGAGAGGGAGGTGCAGTGTGTGTGTGTGGGGGAGAGGGAGGTGCAGTGTGTGTGTGTGGGGGAGAGGGAGGTGCAGTGTGTGTGTGTGGGGGGGAGAGGGAGGTGCAGTGTGTGTGTGTGGGGAGAGGGAGGTACAGTGTGTGTGTGTGGGGAGAGGGAGGTACAGTGTGTGTGTGTGGGGAGAGGGAGGTGCAGTGTGTGTGTGTGGGGAGAGGGAGGTGCAGTGTGTGTGTGTGGGGAGAGGGAGGTGCAGTGTGTGTGTGTGGGGGGAGAGGGAGGTGCAGTGTGTGTGTGTGGGGAGAGGGAGGTGCAGTGTGTGTGTGTGGGGAGAGGGAGGTGCAGTGTGTGTGTGTGTGGGGAGAGGGAGGTACAGTGTGTGTGTGTGTGGGGAGAGGGAGGTACAGTGTGTGTGTGTGGGGAGAGGGAGGTGCAGTGTGTGTGTGTGGGGAGAGGGAGGTGCAGTGTGTGTGTGTGGGGAGAGGGAGGTGCAGTGTGTGTGTGTGGGGGGAGAGGGAGGTGCAGTGTGTGTGTGTGGGGAGAGGGAGGTGCAGTGTGTGTGTGTGGGGAGAGGGAGGTGCAGTGTGTGTGTGTGGGGGGAGAGGGAGGTGCAGTGTGTGTGTGTGGGGAGAGGGAGGTGCAGTGTGTGTGTGTGGGGGAGAGGGAGGTGCAGTGTGTGGGGTTTGGAGGTGCAGTGTGTGTGTGTGGGGGAGAGGGAGGTGCAGTGTATGTGTGTGGGGGAGAGGGAGGTGCAGTGTGTGTGTGTGGGGGAGAGGGAGGTGCAGTGTGTGTGTGGGGGGGGGGGGGGTGCAGTGTGTGTGTGTGTGTGGGGGAGAGGGAGGTGCAGTGTGTGGGGGAGAGGGAGGTGCAGTGTGTGTGTGGGGGAGAGGGAGGTGCAGTGTGTGTGTGTGGGGAGAGGGAGGTGCAGTGTGTGTGTGTGTGTGTGGGGAGAGGGAGGTGCAGTGTGTGTGTGTGGGGGGAGAGGGAGGTGCAGTGTGTGTGTGTGGGGAGAGGGAGGTGCAGTGTGTGTGTTGTGGGGGAGAGGGAGGTGCAGTGTGTGGGGTTTGGAGGTGCAGTGTGTGTGTGTGCGGGAGAGGGAGGTGCAGTGTATGTGTGTGGGGGAGAGGGAGGTGCAGTGTGTGTGTGTGGGGGAGAGGGAGGTGCAGTGTGTGTGTGTGGGGTGGGGGAGAGGGAGGTGCAGTGTGTGTGTGTGGGGAGAGGGAGGTGCAGTGTGTGTGTGTGGGGAGAGGGAGGTGCAGTGTGTGTGTGTGGGGGGGAGAGGGAGGTGCAGTGTGTGTGTGTGGGGAGAGGGAGGTGCAGTGTGTGTGTGTGGGGGAGAGGGAGGTGCAGTGTGTGGGGTTTGGAGGTGCAGTGTGTGTGTGTGGGGGAGAGGGAGGTGCAGTGTATGTGTGTGGGGGAGAGGGAGGTGCAGTGTGTGTGTGTGGGGGAGAGGGAGGTGCAGTGTGTGTGTGTGGGGGGGGGGGGTGCAGTGTGTGTGTGTGTGGGGGAGAGGGAGGTGCAGTGTGTGGGGGAGAGGGAGGTGCAGTGTGTGTGTGTGGGGAGAGGGAGGTGCAGTGTGTGTGTGTGTGTGTGGGGAGAGGGAGGTGCAGTGTGTGTGTGTGTGG